AAACTTTAAGGGATCATTAAAATATACGTATTGTTGTATATGTTTCAGAGATTTTCATTTTACATTTTTTTAGGTCAGACTTTCTTTTATCGATAAATTATAAGTTTGGTTACATAATTTTTTAGTTCATTAGAAAATTATATAATTTTGTATTGGAAATAATCGAAAAAATGATTCCATAAATAGTACAGCAGATTTTAATTTATGGCTTAATTCCTCTTTTAAATAACTTTATTAAAGACTAGATAATATAAAATATTTATAAGCAATCTTCCAATTTTTTCATTTAGTTTACCCAGTAGCAAATACTAATTGATAACAACAAAAATTTTTCGCTCATCTTTTACAAATCTGGTGAAACTCATATTATTACTTTAAAATTTTAAATTTGTATCATTTAATTGTTTTAATAAAATAGAAATCAACTTTATTATTTTGTTACTTTTTTTTTACCTATAATTGTCTAAATTAAATATAAATTAGAAACAAAGTTGAAAAATTTATATTTAACGAACAAAATTGTATTTAACACTTCACATTATATTATATAATAACTTTTATAGAATTTTAACAATCGATACTTTTAATTGTAAATTTAAATGAGAAAAAATTATAAATAGTTCACTTAAATACTCGATGATTACAATATCTATCATTACGTAACTATATTCTCAAAGATAATTTGTTAAAAAAATTTTTAAAATCAAAATAGCTTTGCTCAAATATATTAATAGTTCATAAAATAATTTACAAAGTCCAAATGTGTGATAAGATTAATCAGATAATGTTACAATAATATGAACACAATCAATTATGATGAATTTTTAAAGAAGGATATTAGCACTAAATAATGTGATGCAGGAAAATTAATTTCGATGAAATTTTACTCACTTTCAAATAAATTTTTGATAATATTTTGATTTTAACTTTTCTATAAGTATTTAATAAAAATAACAATTGTTTGCGTTAGCTGAGACGAAAAAATACTGATATAAAATAACTCGCAGAACAACCAATTCAAATAAATATAAATTGAAAATATTTTTATTTATGGATGTATAATGGATGTTTATTCAATGTAATAAAAATATATAAGAATAAGGAAATAAAAAATTATTTACTAAATACATAATTATGATTTAGTTTTGAAACACATAATATATCTATAGATTAGAAATATATCTGTAAATATGTAAATATCAATAAGCATTACAAACTGTCGAAAGATTTAGCTATATTTATATGCTTTCACTTATAAATATTAATCTTTTATTATCATAAACTTTATAAATGAAATATGTTGTCAAAGAAATGTCGCTTCATATTATTTAAAAAGTATATACGTATATACATGCGTAAAATACATAAGTAAAACATATTTGAAAAGTATGCTTTCTTTATTAACGTGTATTCAACGAATAACTTTGTACAATATCTAACACGACACAGATCAACAATTATTTTATTTAATAATCTAACTTTTCATCATTCTTAATCATTATTATTTAAAATGGTTTTACAGTGTATTTTCGAGCTTTCAACAATCGTGTTTTCAATAGTATATCTAAGTATTATATATTTATAGCTAGCGTATGTCAAAAAATCTTTGCATACAATTTTACAACATAAAAAAGAGAAAAGTATTATGTAAGAAAAGACAAAGTTTTGTTAGATAAGCTAGAAAAAGTTCACTTCTTTCATGAGAATTCTTAGAATGTAATATTGAAATTTTCAAATAAAATGCGGTTATGTGCATTAAACTACGTACATTTAGGAATTTCATAATATTTTGCTTTCAGTATATATGAAAAATTCTAGAATATATTACTGAATAATCGAGATAAATTAATCTTATTAATAAAAAAATCACACTTTCAAAATTAATCACAATAGAGATTTTTCTCTTGAAACTACTATGAAAAATTTCTAAAGACAATACCGCTTTATTATTAAAAAAAAAAATTATCATATTTAATTATACGAAATGGAATATATAATATATATATGAATGTATATATGAACACAATATTCTATAAAAAATTTATAATATTATTAATTTTATATTATTATGTATGCGGCTTTTGTATTTTGAATTATTACAATTTAGAATTTTAGAATAATTAGAGAAAATTAACATTTAAAGAATACGAATAAATATTTTGAAAATATTTCATACGACTATGATAAACTATAATAAACTATCTTTAGAATTCATCAATGCCAATATTAATTATAAAACTTTTCTATAAATCATTTAATATTTAATTTGTATTTAAAGGGATTAATGTTACTTTATAAATATTGTAAAAAATTCTAAACAGTATGTACTATTTTTGGTATAGACAATAATATATGCAATATTATTATTAAGCGAAATATACCAAGATTTGCCTTAAAATGCAAGTAATCTTAATGTGACAATGTATATTAAGTTATACATACTCATACTCATGCACAGTAATTTTCTATTTGTCAATTTACTCTTACTTTTTAGATGTAAAATTTCATTTTGGATTATTAGAAAAGATATGTAATGCCGAACAAAATCATAATCAAAGCTCTTATTATCTTTACATCTTTTTCGTATCTGCTATGACTTCTTTGAATTAGATCGAATAGAATCGTGGGCTGCGTAATTGTTTTGCACAAACTCTCAAAATAGCTAGATGTGGAACATCTTTCCAGAGTGACCACAGGAGTAGCTGTAAGAGGTGAAAAATGATATTCAACCCGTCTCTTCTTTCTATTAGTTGCTATTTTATAGTTATTTATAGGGTTTATGATTGCTATTTTAGTTTTATATGTTAATAGTGATTAATTACTTTACCGACAATTAGAAACCAAAAATGAAGCTCACAGTACAATTGCCCGAATAAGAATTGTATTATAATTTTCGACATCTCCATATACACACATACACACAACAGAGTTAGTTATACGTCATGTCACTTTTCGCAATGTAACACCAATTTATTATAATAATATGAATAAGCTCGAACGTCAGTTTTATCTTTTTGCTATTATGCATATGTTAGAAACAATACGAAACTTTTTTAAACATATCTAATTAACATGTTTAATTTCAAATTCTTTTGCTCCTTCTCATATTGTACAGAAAATCCATTTTCATTCCGTTTTAAACAATCACAGAGACAATAAATTATTACTATATACTTGACATTATAAAAACACATCATAAAATCAACATAAAGAAATTGAAAAGCGTGCAATGCAGAAAATACAAGGAATAACATTGGACAAATTAACAATGATTTTTTTATTCAGAATACATCGCTTCATTAATATATTATTATTACGAAATAATTTACAAAAATAATATATCATAGAAATGAGTAAGATTTTGTCTAAAATATAATTGCACTCATTCGCGAAAGACAAGAAATTTGCTTCAACTTATCGGTTTAAACCCACGGTATTATTTTATTGCTTTACCAACAATTATTGCAGGAAGAAATTTGTTTAGTTAAAGCGAGGCATTTCGGTCGCGGTGCATATTATTATTTACGGAACATATCATTCAAAAGTATATATCTGCTGAACAAGCATCACGCAAACTTGCCATATAAGCTTTGCTATCGTTCGACGTTCTGCCCCTTTCTTTCTTCTCCCGCACCTCAATGCCCTTCCTTCTCTCTCTCTCTCTCTCTCTCTCTCTCTCTCTCTTACCTCCCATGAGACGAGTGAACAAGCCACTGAGCCTTGCTGTTATGGGGCTAGACACACCTGCAGCAGGTACATGCGTTAGAGGCGGGTTATTGCACGCTCGCACCGATCGTTATTTATTCACTTATGCGACAGTTAAAAATTATGACTCGAGCTCCACATTACACTCACTGCATCAACTCGCGTTTTTACACTTTGCCACATATTCCCTTAACATCAGCAACGTAAATTACTTATTTTCTCTAATAAGAATAACACCCAACTCTATAGGGTACACAGTACTTTCAGTGTAATTTACATTTTTCGTCATAGACATCATTCGTCATCATACTTTCCTTATTGTTAACAATATTAATTTTATATATAAATCAAAATTTATAAACAATTATATATTTCCTCTACTAACAGATTTCTCGAAAAATATACTTCTATGCTCGCAACTTCGTCCGTCATTTTCCAGTCTTATAAAACTTTGCTCACTACAAACACAATATTCAATACTCACATATACTATATTATGAATATTTATTTCTAGATGAAAATATAATTAAATAATTTATTTATAAAATGCTTTAACTAACAATTAAATGTAATTGTAATTGTAAAACTGCTTAAAATAGATTTCAAAATATATTTCCAGTTATAAATTATTTTTTATTTAAATCTCGTGTTTTTATTATTGTTCCATTACACCTTTATCGAATATCAATATTATTAAATGATACTTTATTAAATTTATTTAATAAATAAAATTTATATTTGAGTAATTACCTTAGACGTTAATGTATTTTTAATGGATTGTATTTTAAATATATTTAAATAAACAGTAATAACTTATTGAAGAAATTTTCATGATTACATAAAAGTTTTACTACTTTGTAAATAAATATTGCAGTAATTTTTTTTCATAATTTCAATTATTAAATTCGATGCAAGATTATTAATATGCATTTGTTTTATGATAAATACACGATTAAATTGGCAATTGAGTTTATGGTTATTTTGTCACCTCATTAATGTTTTCTCTATTCTTATCTTGTTCACTACCCCGTACACTTTTCCAATGTGGCGTTTATTTTATATAATTTAATGAATTAAAAAAAGGATCGCATAATAGATTATTGGAGTATTATTAGCTATTACGTTCATGAAAAATATAGCCATTTCACATCAGCATATGTATATACACCATAATCGACCGATTTAAGCTCTTTAATCAATATTTAATTTGCATACATACAGTATGTACGTAAACATCGATAAACAACAACACATAAATCATTCTACATATACATAAGATCAATCGTTGCAATTAGTTACTTTTTTGATAATTTTTTAAATGCATATACTCGATACATAGGTGAGAACGGTGAATTCTCTCCGTCACATTCTTCTTCATCTCCGGTTGGATCGTCTTTTTCCGGTTTTGAAGATCGATATATCTGACTCTTCACGTACCTATTTTCATTTACTGATCAAATTAATTAGTTTCAATTAGTTTATACCTCATTGAGATTATATGTAATTATAAATTTATTTAATCAAAAATTCATTCACTACTTTTATTTTTAATTTTATTAAAATGATTACTAATTAAAAATAGATAATCGAAATAATTGAAATACATGAAATACTTAAATTTAATGGAAATTTGAAGAAAAAGTTATTGTTTTAATTCAAGACAATTTTTTAAATTAATACAACCATAAACATTATGCCATTGTAATAATTTATTTAAATTGGATAAGTGCAATAAAAGTAGATATTAAATATTCTATTGTAATATTAAAAAAATTAATTGTCTTATCTAGAAACATTAATTTTTATAAAAAGATAAATTCTCTTTAAAAATTTATCAATATAATACTCATAAAATACCCGACAAGGTATAAATAATGCCACAATGATTTTAAATAAATTTTTTTATATAAATTTATATTAAACCATCTATATATATATTCAAAGAGTGAGACACGTATTCATTAAAATTTGCTTCATAAAGCCTTAGTCATATTTTCTGGTTTAATGATATAATTATAAATTATATACAAATTGATATGATTCAGTAGCGGTTCTTAAATAAAATTAATAAATTATGAATTAATTCATGATTATTAGGTATTGTAGTAAAAATAAATTTTATTCATTGAAAATAGATTTGGTATAAGTTAGAATATTTCGCACTATTATATACAATGTTATTTTAAAACTCTAATGATTTAAAAAATAAGGATGAATGAATGCATATATATATATATATAAAAAGTACTTGTGTCTTTTTGATAAGCTTTTAAAAATAAATTAATTATCTGGAACTTTTAAAATACCAAGGTTTTATTTTTAATGTAAAGAGGGTTACATCATTTCTAGAATTCAGACATTAGATTTACGCGAGTATATTAACGTAAGTCGTTTAGTCATCAATTAATTTATAAAGTTTTTGGAAAATAGTAGAATAGCTATGATAAGTATAAAAGTATTAATAATTATAAAAATTCTTTAATTTATAATATAATTTTTAATACTTATTTACTTGCAATACATAAATCTCTAGTTAAACTCTATTTTATCATATTCCACGTGTTATAAGATAAATAAAAAATAAAAAAATATATATATATATATAAACTTTGTATTTCCTCATTATTTTATTTATTAGTAATTTTATTTTGTAAAACAGCATACTTACTATTCAATTCACTAGATGCGTTAACATTTTCATTAATGGCATCCTCGTAATTCTTAAGTGGTATTGTCCCAATAAAAATGGTTGTTCTAATTTTGAGATTTTTCTGCAATAAGCGGTAGTACCACTCGTTAAGGTCGATACAAGCTTCGACTTTAAGCGCATAACGAACATCGATAATATTACAAAATTCCATTCTGCTAGGGGGTATTGATGGTACGTCAAAATTCTCTTTATAAATTTCTTCTTTGGACGAAACGGGCAATGCTATTTCGACGATTATTTCTTTGTGCCTCCTCGACTTTTCTTTCGCATTGTATGTAACAACCTATAGGCAAAAAACATTTATATGTTTATGATTGAATCAGAAATTTTCTTAACAAAAAATTATCTACAAGTTTATGCAATAGAACGAAAGGTATTTGTTTTTTATAATAAGTAGTTAGATAATCATTTCAAATAGTAAATTACTCTGTAATCAATTATGCGCTTTTGTATAATCGTCATATTTCACTTCAATACATAAATCATAGATAATTTGTTTGTATTAATTTTACTCCATAAGTTAATATTATAATACTTACACTCTCAAAGCTGATTATTGTATTTATTTCACTTTTCAAAAATTAAATCAATAATTTACGTGGAAAATTTGGTTAAAAATCTTTAAGTACATAAATTATAATTTTAAGATATTCTACTGATTTAAAATTTAATATTTGATATATTTATATATATATATATATTTTTTTTTTCTATACAAACATGTGTAAACAAAAAATAATTTTTTTAATTATGAGATAAAATAATTTTTATTAATTTACATACAAATTACTACTAATATATATATATATGTATATATATATATATATATAAACTAGGTTGAATCAATCTTTTCTTGAACTTGAAGTTATTTTAAACAGAAATATTTGATTAACTAGTAAATAATTACCTTTTTAAGGACGATTCTTATCTTGGCAATACGTATGTGGGATTCATTTTTAAGAGTTATTTCCATAGGTACAGTCTGTCCAGGCACAAAGCCACGTACTGGTAACGATAGAGATATTGTCAAAGGTTCCTTTTGTCCAATAAAGATCTTGGATTGATTCTCGCTAATAGGTAACTAAAATTTAAAACAAAAGAGATTTATTATTACATAAAATGAAAAAGTATATTAAAGTGTGAGATAATAATGATCGAACTATTTGTGTGAATAAATCTTTAATATCGTTATATATATATATATATATATATATAAGCATAAAATTAAATAAAAGCAATGAAATGAATGTATTATTGACAATTGCTAACAGAGGAAAAACTTTTATTTCGAATGAATTGCAAAGTATTAAATATATTATCGTACTTTCGTCATAAGATTTCATTTGAACAAATTATATAAATTATTTTTAGAAATTTTAATATTTACCATACGAAGAAAATTAAAATTTCAATATTTAACTAAATCATTTGCATTCGAGAGTTTGCATTAAAGCATAGCAGAAAACTTATATTTATAAAATATTCCGCGAATAAACATTCGAAGCAGGGAATAAGCGACTGCAAACTCTACTTACCGGTGCCAGTGAGTCCTGATTGAGATCGCAAAATGATGCGAGAGTAAATGGTAGTGCATTTGTCGAGAACACAATATCCTTGGACATGAGTAGTATCGCCCTAATCGAGTAGCGAATTCGCCCGTAAAGACCTTCGAAACTGCATGGTGTTTTTTCTGGGAGCTCCATGCTGAACGGATAAATGCCATTGGTCAGTTGACTCTTCGACTTTCCATCTATACGACACAGGTACAAGTCACTCGACAGTGATGTATGATCGTTGTATCCGATGCAGTTAATATGTACGGTATCTTTACTTACCGCCAACGAGATAAGGCTCCAGAAGGAAATAGCTCTCCTCGGCACTGAATTTTCGACGAATACCGATAGATCTATCAGTAAAATAAACCCGTGCGTCACTTCTGCACCTGAGTCGGATCCCTGTGAGAGCGATCATTTATCAAATCACGGCAAAAGACGACCGATTTTATTAAATGTACGACTTTTTAAGGGATCAATCCAATAATCAATCTTTTTAATGCATCAATAGGAATTCAGCTGAAAAGTATACTAAGAGACCAAAATTTTCATTTTCATGAAACTAAGTAAATAATATTTGTGTGCAATAGATCGCATCGGTTAATGGAAGCTGAACATTAGATTCTCACAGAAACACGGGAATGTAATATTTAATCCACATTTATCGTCGACGTATTCTGAAGAAAAAACAATTTTACTGATTCAATTTGGAAATATCGATGTAGATCTTTGTACCATAGATTAAATTGTGTGTGATTTTATATAAACGATTAATTGTTATTATATAAGGCTTATTAAAAAAAAAATCAGGAAAAACAGGAAAAATATTTTAAGATGAAAGTGTATAAGACGGGATCAAAGAAAATCTTGTGAAAATATAAAAACTGGAGAAACTTTTTAAAAATGTGTTCCTTAATAGCCTGATCTACTTTCAATATGCATTATATGATAAATGATAAAAATATATCATATTAATATGTAAGATTAAAACGTAGAAGTTTTTCTTTATAATTGAAATATCAAAATTTTTATTTTTTATTATTTTTTTTTTTTTAATCATTTCACTTATTAAATCTTATACTATATGTAGAAGAAAATATTCAATATGCAATTTATGAAAATCCATTTGGAATATACAAAATCAAATAATAAACCCTATTCAATAGAATTGTTAATTAAATATAATGATGGATTTAGTATATATTAACTTAATTATTCTTTACAACTGTTGAATACTAATTGTACAGTCAATATTTCTACATCCGCGTATAAATAGCTTTACTGAAAATAAATATTCTGTATAAAATAATTTATAAAGATTCTTCACATTTTTTGGTTACTAATAAATTCTATGAATTCTTTATCAGTATAAAACTTAGCTAAGAACACTATTTAATTATTAACATAATTCGTTCTCGAATATATTATTCGTGTATTTTTTATATTTTAGTTGCGATAAGATAAAATCAACATATGCATTTGCACATTTTGTACATTCGTATTAAAAAAAATTAAACTGATTAAATGTAAATAGATAAAATTTGTACAATATAAAATTCCTAATTATTTAAATAGTATTTTTAATTAAATAGAAGTAGAGACAGATAATTTGTTTAACTTACGTATACATAATTTTCCAGCACCAATTTTCCATATTGCATTGATTAAAAGCTTAACTCAAGATATATATAAACAAGTTTTTTATATTAAATATAATTAATTTAAAAAAAAAAAAAAAAGAAAGGATTTATTAATGGCCAAGACAACAAATTATGAGGTTAGAGTTTATTAAATAAATAAATTTAAAAACTTAATTTATATAATCAAATATACTGAAATTAAAATTCAAGTACAATCCTTTTCACTTTTATAATTAAAAATTTAGTACTCTGGGGCACCAGAATAGATATATAGAATTGTCAATTATAAGGTTCAAGTGTAAAGCTCTGTAGTTTAACGATGTTGATGTCAAGTACAATTGATTTCCAAATTTAAACTCATAGTGATGATGAGTTGTAGCTGAACTTAATTTTAACCGACTCCGTGCACGTCGTATATGTCATAGATGATCCAGTATCACAATAAAGTCGTAAAACAACAAAACATCTTATCTGGACCACATTATCGACTGTCCCATTTAGCCAAAAACAGACAACTACTAAATAGAGCATCTAAACTTGTAAAATTACATAAATAAAATTTTATTTTCTTCAAACTTGAAATTTAATATTCTAAATTAACTGGATAAGATTGACGATTAATTATTATTAACATAGTTGGCCAAATTTATTATTATACTTATGAAATAAAAATATTATTATGTATAAGCAATTCTACCAATTACAATTTATGTTTAAATACAATTAAAATGTTATATTATTCATAATTAATTTTTCTATTCACAATGTTTGTAAAACATCAATAAACAAATTGAGAAGTCAAAATATATGTTAGAATAAAAAAAAAAAAATGAAATATATTCATTGAAAGTTCAGATGAAAATTGTTAATGGTGTGTATTATGAGCTTTAGCTTAGTAGGTGATCGAAGTACTAAAAATTCTTAAATACGCATCGAATCTATCATAATGTCAAATAAATTTTATACCTTATATATGAATTACTTTATTTATACATTAATTTCTTAATAATATATTGTAGAAGATCAATCCGAGCGGTTCTTACCTTCTATTACAATAAATTATCATCCTTATGCGTCAATAATTCGTAAAGAGTAATATTTTTTATAAAATAATTGTATTTCCTTTGTATATCGTAATCTTTTAAAGTTACGCACCAATAAATTAAAAATAGTATTTTTTATTTTTAATTAAATACCTAGATTTCTAATCCTACCTAGTTTAAATTCATTTGTTCTTTTGGAAATAGTTACTTAATTCGAGGATTAAATGCTACGTTATTTAAAATTTTTTTAAATAATTTTTGTTAAAAATTATTACTATTTTATATCGCAACCTTTTATTTTCAATTAACTATTATTCTACAAACAAAGAACAAATTGTCTTCGAGGCATTTGCCTTTATCAACTGTATATTTATCTTTTATGTCTACGTACATGTATGTTAAAAGATAAAGTAAGGTTTAATTTTTTTTACTTCTATTCTATACTGTAATTATAATTGATTGTAAAAAAAAAAAAAAGTTATTTTACAATGGCTTTAGCATGGCTTCTTTGACATTTAATTTAATAATTTTTTTTATATTTATATCATAAAGGAATTAATTTTTTATATAAATTCTTTCAATAGTGTATGATAATAAAGTAAATGTAATAAAAAGTTATGATAATCAGATCTGTTAATTACATTGGCTATGATTAAGATTAATTTGTTAATTAATTATAAGGAATAATTTATAATAAATATAAAAAAAATTTATTTTAACACAATTTAATATTTTTAATAAAATTATATCAGCAAAAACTTTATTAAAATATAAATACTTTTACTGTCCATATATTTCTAGAAATTATTTTTAAAAATTTCTAGATTCTTTCTCAACATATCGTTTAAATTCTAAAAAATCTTTACCTAAATTCAACTATATATTTAAAAACTCAAAACTTTAATTTACATATTAGTGGTTATGATTTTATTTCTTATTATAATTAAAAATATAATAGTATATTGGTAATAAAGTTATTAAATTAATCCGATAAACAAATTTAAATAAGAAATTAATTAAATTTACATTTCTCGTGCAGAAATGTCGAATGAATTAAGTTATTTTTCATAAATTCACAAAATACTTATTTTATATACATAAAATCAATAATTTTATGGAAAAAACAAACCTCAAATGCGTTTGGAAGAATGTTTACTAAAACTTATTTTGTAATGATAATTTTATTTGAAAACGATTTTCTATTTTTCGTACATTTATGACAAATTCTACAAATGCGTTCTATTATTTTACATTATTTTATGAAATCGAAAATATATATTATTGAGATAAATAAACATGCTGCTAAAAAATAAAGAATCGTTTTATACTTTTATCTATACTGTTTTACATTATAAAAAGAAAAATTTATATTAGCAATAACAATCATATTATTTACCTAGAGCCTCGATTGGTGCGGCAAGTTCCAAAATGACCTTTCCAGTAAGTATTTGTCCACCCATAAACACTCTGTCCTCATTGTCGAGAGAAATATCAATGCGCTCGAGGCCGTGACTATAAAGATTAAACAATGCTTAGCAAGAATTCCCGAAGCAATACTTTCAAACAATCAGAAGCAGGAAATTAATGGGAGAGAATATACCACGCGGGATCGGGCGCGTATGCTGTTTCTTCCTGGCTTCTCATCATCACTACTCGCGATTGCGGATCTCCTTGTAGAACTTGTGCCATATCCACTTATGGACGCAGTCACGAGTGAAAGAAAAAGATCTTAATCCAGTAGCAGACAAAGGAAATTACCTATAATTTGTTGACAAGAATCCAAAATTTGTAATGCGAGAGCGCATGCGCCATTATTTTTGCATGCTTATAAGCGTCCGCCAATATTTGATAGCGACAACGAGTCGCCGTCGAAGATCAATTTCTGCGGCGTCTCATATTTTCCTCCATAATGTAAATATACCATGAATCTTTATTTTAATATGTTTTGCTTTTAGTGTCATTGTAAAAAAGGGGAGCATAGCTTATTTATCCATAATGATCATATAATGATTCTGAATATGAAATATTCCTTTTCTGACATCCAATTATTATCCATCAATTTTTATTTCATTTAAAGCTGCATAAGCACGTTAGAACTCGTTGTTCTTTATCCTGTACCATCAGTTTTCATTTTCACACAGAATTTTCACCACTTCATTTCATACTATTTATGACAATTACATAAACCATTAAATTAATTTCATCTTAGACTTTCTAATCTAATTATTTTTATTGATATTTATATTTTATTAATATTAATTTCTATTTAATATTTATTTATAATCTACCATAATTATCATTTCATCGTTTGTGAATTAAATGTTATTGTTATATTTGAGAAAATTTTTCATGTCGAATAATTAAATACCATATCAAAAATATTATTAATGCTAATTAATTGCACAGAAAATTTCCTATTACTGTAGAAATTGCAATTATAGTAAAAAGCGATCATGTAATAACACGAGGAGAAATTATAATGATATTTAGATAATAAAAGAATCAACATGTAACGAAGATAATGTCTCAACATACATTTATAAAAAATACCGTTCTAGAAACATCATTGTGTATAATTATTTATCATGATATAATTATTTATCCAAATAATTTTTACGATAATTTAGTGTTATCAGTATGTTATTTAAAAACAAAAGAAAAACAATTAATAAATTCAATATATTCGTATTAATTGTTAAAATGTTGTGAATCTTTATATTGATAAGATCGAAAAACTAACTAATTATCACATTGTAATTTTAAAATTATAATGAATGATTTCAATTTCATATCTTAGAATACTATATTAAATATACTACTTTAAAGAAAAAATACCGATGTAATTACATATCCTTAAAGTAGTAAAGAATTATTTATTTTAATACATTAATACTTATCGCATAATAATAATGATCCATAATTTATACTTTTAATAATATATCTATAAGTGTGCGTCATTTTTAATGAAAATAAAAATTGCTTCCAAAATTTTAGTAGCAATTGGTGGTACACCCTAACTTTCCTCGCAATGATAAAGAGGAGCGCATAATATTCGCTGGTCGCAAACTACAAAGTGAGCGGAAGAATCGAAGCAAGAGGCTCCGTTAAACCACAACTACGTCACCACTAGGAAAATCTATGAAGCATAAGCTCGTAATAAGTGATAAGCGATTTTCTCGGAATGACCAACAGATCAGCTCCCGTCGATGGTTGCCGACATTTCCATACGGACACCGACCCAACTATCCTTCCAATACTTGGAATGGTTAATCCATGGCATCTCTATACCACAGTCTACGACGAATTATGTAAGAAAGTATAAATTAATATAGAAATGTTGCCGCCTTTTAATTAAATTTTCACTCGTTATTATTATTTACCGCAGTGTACATAAACATTGGAAAATAAATAAAGAATATACACAAACACTCAACTCCTCTTTACATTCTGAAGTGAATATTTTAAGATTTTAAAGAAAATTTCTAAATAACATTGCGCAAATAATCGGATTACAAAAAAATAATATCCATATTTTTTACTTGATTTTTTAATTTATATTATTAATAGGGATTATTAAAAATATAGAATAACAAATAATGAATTGATTTCACTATGCTTATCATTTCCCGTTAAAATATATTTTTACTGAACAACGATTTACAAAATTTGAAATAAAACAGACTCTAGAGGCTCATTTAATAACCAAAAAATTTACATTCATTGTATACGTAAATTCTTTAAATACTCTACGAATTTTTTTAATCTATTAATGCTTATCGGTAATTTATAAAATTTGCATAAATAATATATGGTATTTGTATTATTCTGAATATTTTTTTGAAATTTTTTTAAACGTTGGATTGTATGAAATTAAATTTTAAAAGATAGTCTAAAAATGAGGCAAGTGAATTATATTATTATAAAGAAATATCTACGAAATGAATTAGTAGTGTTATGTAATTTAAAAATTGATAAATTGCCTGAAAGGTAATTGCAGATTTTATATGGAAAAATACTTCGGTCGATCTTAACAAAATCAACTGTTGCAATACACAGTTAACGAAACAATGTTTTATTTTCTTTATGGTAGGATCGTTATTATACTATAAGAGCAATGCAAATTCCTTTTTATAATATTAACACTTATAAATATAATATATTGTTCGCAAAAAAAAAAATATATATATATATATATATATATACCAAATATCCGAGCGAACTGAAATTTATAATTAATAATTTTATTATAATAAACAGTACGAAGAAATTTTAAGTTTTTTTTTAAATATCTTTTAATATATAAAAAGTAAAAATTCATTACGAGGTTAAACAAACGTTATCAGCATTTTGCAATATTATTGTACAAGATTTACATACAAATTATACGTGGCAATTTTATTTATTGTAAAACTAATGATTATAAAATTAAAATTCAATAATTATTTCAATAATAATATGTGAATTAGAATGTATTGTAAAATTTAACAAATTTATACTAACAGTGTATATTATTAAAATAATAATATTATTTATAATAATAAAAAATAAAAACATCTAATACATAATAAAATGTTATATTAAATAAAAATAGAATTTAATGTATAATTAATGAACATCATATAGAAATAATAGATTATATAAATCCAGATAAAAAGAGTGAACAAATAAATAATAATTAATATAACAAAGAAATAATGACTAAACAATAAGATGACGCAGTAAATATTCCAAGGAAAAATGGTTGAATCTACTTTTTCTTCATTTTGAGCTGCAACAAATGATTACAATATAAATATAGTATTTGAACACAGATATTTCGTTGTTTTTAATCTTCTCAAATCTCAATTATTAATTCACGTAGATAATATGACATTGCAAGGACTTTGGAGTAAATTAGGAAATTAGGAAATTAAATATCAGTTTTTGTTCCATGATTGTATTTAATGATAAGCTTTAGCTAGAGGAAAGCGGACAAAAAAATATACGGAGAAGCCGTCAAATGCCGATAAATAAATTAACTGCCCACTTAAGAATTGTTGTTCTTTGAAACGACAAAATTCACCTCTGTGCGTTTATTTTACATCTTTCTCTATACGTAAATCGTATTTTCTATTTTGACGATGTTTCAAACCCTCGCGTCCATTATGCGAAATGAATTTACATGGACGCTACCCAAAAATCTTTGAAAGCTGAAACTTGGGTATCCAGTTGTTTTACAATTAAATGCACTATTTATTTTAAAAATATAACATCCATTAATAATTACCTTGAACAAAATAATTATTATTGAAAATAGCAATATTAAAAAAATTTATCAAGTTCTTACAGTATCACTTTCGCCTATTCGGTGCGGCAACATGTGTCCATATATGGCCTTTGTGCTCTATTTATTGATAAAGACATTGATGGAAGGATAATCTTCGATAGATTTCTTTAACGGTAACGGAATAAAGTCCCATCGAGTCAAGGGGTGCATTAAAAATAAGAGATGACAGATTAACGGTATTAAGGCACGTATTAATTTTAATACAATATTTACGCAAATGGCAGAATTTGTCGAATAGTCTTGTTGCTTAGATTCCATTTATTTTTCCGCGCAAAAGGGATTCCCAGCTTTTAATGAACGTCAGCCCCTGGATTTACGACTGGTGCACGACGAGCCAAAACTCGCGTGCTCGGTATACGCGCGCTCGTGTAGCCAAATCGGCTAGTAATTTGTCGGGATGGCAAAGAGAAATAAAGGGCGAATGAAAGGAAGGGAACGACCAAGAGTTCTTGAGCGAGCATTCGACTGTTACCGTTCCAGGGGTTCTTGGATAGATGAAACCTATGATTTCCCCGTTCCTTTTTCTCTTTTTTTTTCTCGTCGGTTGAACAGCTCGACTGCTGCCGCGGCGCGCCGTTCCTCTCCTGATTTATGGTCAGCGCGATGTTTTCCCGAGAGGAGACAAACTGCACGCGCAAAACAACAACGCGACCAGAGTAATAATAGTTTCTTGTAGTTTCACTACTACCGCTCCTACTACTATTGTCGGTGCTGCTGCTGCTACTGCTGCTGCTGCTGCTGCTGCTGCTGCTGCTACTGCTGTTGATGCTGCTACTAGACATGAGAGTAAGTAGGGGAGGTAATCCCCATGCTTCCCATAAATTCCAATGACAATCATTATTTGCTCCCCTTGGTACTCGCCCCTTCCCTTCAATCTCTTTTTCACGCGCCCGCGGACACGCATACACACGGTACATCTCTCATCTCTATTCGCATGTTCTTTCTTCATTTACTTTATTTATACTTTCTATATGTTTTTAGGCGAGATTTCGTTTTTTACTCTTTTAATACTTCTCGTAACTCTTTTACTCTTTCTTTTCCTAGAGGCCAAAGTGAGGTGCGATATTAAAAAGTCTAGTATTTCATTTATGATGCGAATTAAACTATCACACCTGTGATATTTCATATTTTTTATTTATTGCTTACATTTTAATATTAATTATAAATGATTTGAAATCTTAATTTCTCTTTTGTCAATTACTTGTTTTTTATAGAATTTAATATAAAAATCTCCTAATAATAATCAGTAAAGTACATACTATTGTAAAATTTTAAAAATACCGATGATACTTTATTGTCATAAATAATACTATTAAACAAATTTGTTACTAATGTTATATAGTTGATAAGAGCTTCTGAATAA